GAAGAATCCTACTAAAATTTGTAGTTTCTTGGGTTTAGCGAGAAATTATAAGAGATTTATTAAAAATTTCTTCACGGTAGCAGGTTCACTAACCAAACTGGAAAAAAAGGTAGAGCCATTTGTTTGGACTGATAAGTAGGAAGATGCATTCCAGACATTGAAGAAGCTTTTATGTGAGGCTCCTATTCTATTTTTTCCTGAGGTGAATGAGGATTTTGTGGTTTTCAATGATGCGTCATATTCAGGATTGGGATGTGTAGTTATGCAGTATGGGAAGGTGATTGCTTATGCTTGCCAAGAGTTGAAAAGGGCCGATCGGAATTACTCGGTACATGAATTAGAGTTGGCAGTTGTGGTATTTGCGCTTAAGTTATGGCGACACTACTTATATAGGACGAAGTGCATGCTATATACTGATCATAAGAGATTACGACATATTTACAACCAGAAGGATTTGAACATGAGACATCAGAGATGGGTGGAGTTGTTAGCAAATTATGGTTGTGAGATTAGTTAATACCCGGGAAAAGCAAATGTGGTAGCTAATGCTATAAGTCGTAAGGAGCCGAGGGTGTCATATCACCTAAAGTGTATTGCATTGGTTGTGACACCGGTTATATTTGAGCAGTTACAGGCTACTTAGTCTGAGGGTTTGAATGAAGACCATGTAAAAGAAGAAGTAATGGTTAAGAATCAGGCACGCTTGGTTGAGGACGAGCGGGGACTTATGACCTTTCAGGGTCGATTATAGGTCCCACAGGTAGGTGGTGTTCATGATACTATATTATGTGATACACATAGATCGAAGTAATCTATCCACCCAAGTACCAATTATTGGCGTCCAGGTATGAAGCGGGAGATGCCGAAGTACATATCATAATGTGTGACGTGTGTAAGTCAAAGCTCATCACCAACAACCTTATGGTGAATTGCAGCAATCGAAGATTCCTGAGTAGATATAGGATAAGCTTATGATGGATATTGTTACCAAATTACTTAAGACTATGTTGAGTAATGACATGATTTGGGTAATAATGGATCGATTGACGAAAAGTGCCCACTTTTTGGCAACTAGGGAGAACAAGAAGTTAGAAAATTTGACCAAGATGTATGTGGATGAGATAGTTGTACGTGATGGAGTACTATTATCTACTATTTTCGAACAAGGCAGTTGGTTTGCTTCGAGGTTCTGGCAGAAAATTCAAGAGGAATTGGTTATGAGAGTGCATTTGAGAACAACCTATCATCCGCAAACTGATGGGCAGATCGAGAGAACAATAAATGATCTGGAGGACATGTTACAAGCTTGTGTTGTTGAGTATGATGAGAGTTTGAATACTCACTTGCCTTTGGTGGAGTTTGACTACAACAACACTTACCATTCCAATATTGATATGTCACCATATAAGATGCTCTATGGGAGGAAATTTCCTACTCCCACATGTTGATTGGATCCGGGCGAGAAACAGTTTGTAGGTTTAGAAATTATTCAAATTACTGAGGATAAGGTGAGAATAACATGTGATCGTTTGCAAGTAGCTCGGGAGAGGCAAAAGAAGTATTCAGAACAGAAGCACAACCAAATACTTTTGAGGTGGGCAAGAAGATGATGTTGAAAGTATCACCTTGGAAGGGAATTATTCACGTATGGAAATGAGGCAAGTTAGGACCTCAATATATTAGTCCATTTGTTTAATTGGAGCGTAGCAGCGATCAGGCTTACCGACTAGAATTACCACAATAGTTGGAGGGGATTCACGATGTGTTCCATGTATGCTACTTGAGGATTAGCAGAGGAGCGTAATATCTTACCATTAGATGAGCTACAAGTTGACGAGTCTAAATGACTAGTGTAGGAACCTGAAGCAATTCTAGAGCGAGAAACCAAGCAACTGCGAAAGAAGCATGTGAAGTTTGTGAAGGTATTATGGAAAGCATGGAGGTGACATGAATTGGGAGAGCGAGGATGAGATTAGGGCTTGTTATCCTTGCGTGTTCATTTTGGTTCCTGATTTCGAGACAAAATCCTCTTAAAGGGGGGAAGATTGTAACGACCATAATTTTTCCTGCTTTGCCGTTGAGGTTAGTTCTGTTACATTCCCATTTTAAGTTACTCTTATATTGTTTAAATTTAACTTAAGGGGGGGGGGGGATAAAGTGTAGGAAATGATTCATTGATTATGTATATGGGTCATAGGGTCATTTTTACACACTTTGAAGGGGCCTACATGTAAGATAGACTCATATTTATACTACACTTAACCCCAATCCGAGATTAATCACTCATTTAACAAACCCTACCTTAAGCCTACATCTTCTTGAGTGAGTGTTCTAGGGTTCTTGACCTTGGTGGTGTGTTGAAGTAAAGAAGAAATGTGATATATTTGGTGCAATTTGTGGACTTGTAGTGGAAATTCATAGAGCTTCTTCCTTAGAATCCTTTTGGTGGTTCGTTTCTGGATTTCTAAAATGTAAGACATCTATCTAAATTTCATTTTGGTTGTCATACAAGTCACACATAAGGAGAGGCCTTGAATAATGCAAATTCTTGGTTTTGTAGTGTTTGATTGTCCCACTCTTTTTGCTATCTTTTTAGTCATTTAGAAAGGGTCTTTAGTGGTTAAGAACACCTCAATTGAGGTTTTGATCGGACCCAAATTAGGCAGAAGGAAGGGGTCAATCGATGATAAAAAAATCTATAACGTCTAGTTCTTACGAAGTGAGCATTGGCTTATCATGTCGTGAGGCCAAGTACTGGAATGATTTAAATTGCATCTTTTTTCTTAGGTAGTGTTTGTTTTTTGTCTGCAGATCTGCGTGGCCTCTTCTGTCTGCGCCGCGCAGACCACACGCAGACATTAGCCTTCGCAGACTGTTTGTTTTTTTGAAGACTGCAGACCTAAAGATGTCTGCGTGCCCTCTTCTTGGTGCAGATGTGGACCAGAGTCTTCTAACATCTCCAGACATCTTTTAGCCTAAAAAACCATATATATCTTTATTTTTTTAAAGTTTTTTTTTTTAATTTATAATTTTTCTAACTTTATTAATGATAAACAATTTGAAAAAAAAATACAAAACTTAAAAAAAAAACGTTCGACGATACAAACATGATATTTTTTTACAAATTTATAAATAAACATTTATTACAATAATAGTCGTTGAAGTTGTTTATATAAATATGAAAAAAAATCATAATATATTCTTATATTTTTTTTGCCAAATTTTATAAAACATTATTTAATACAATATCATCAATTTCTCGAGAAAATATTTATGGTACATTTTTAATAGATTTAATTGAAAAATTCAAAGTTTATTTCCATCCATTTATGTATGAAATTCTTTGATCACTAATTATAATGTTTAGTTATAACTTTGAAACAAAAGTTGTTGGTTTTTATCAAATATATACGTTAATTCATATTATTTTTATTTTTATTATTATACAATAATACATAAAAGTTGATCTAGTTTTGTTAATTATTTATAACAAAATCATAAAAATATTATAAAATCACTTTGAAGTTTAAATAAAATAAGTTTATTTAGATTTCAGTTTATTTTAGTAGCCCACAGATGTTAAAAAAAACAAACAGTCTTCTTTTTTTAGACTGCAGACGTTTGGTCCACCTCTTCTACTGCAGAGGTCTACAGATGTGGTCTGCAGACTGCAGACATTGTGTCTCAGAAAAAACAAACAACACCTTAGTCATTATGTGAGCAAACCCTTTGTCACTTCATGATGACATCGACTTGACTGGGCAAAGCCTAACGATCATTTGGTGTCATAATGTTGACATCCTAGTTCCATGACGTGAAGACGAAATTGATCGAGCCTGAATCGTGAAAGTGCCAAAGCTCACGATATGATACCCCTTGGTCACCATGTGAGACTCATCTAAATAGAATCATGTCTATTTTGTGATAAGTTTTTTTTTTATCAGTTCTTTGGGTATTCTTTTTGGGGTGTTAAAGTGATTGTAGAATGTGGTTTTCCTCTATTCATAGTTCCATAAAAATTGGAGTAGAGGTGAGTCATTTCTTGTGTGGCTTAAGTACTAGCTTGGAAGGAATGGATGCATCTATGTTTGTGTTCTTGTTTACTTAATGTTATGGGATATAAAGGCTGATTGTATAGAGCTAGATATAACCTGGGCATGTAAAGCTATTGATGAATGCAACTGATTTTAGGAAACGTTGTATGCTAGATTCCTTAATTTAAACATTTGGTGCAAATTGTGAAGGTTCGCGCCATGCTAGAAGTGAGGACTTTTGTGTGGCTATATTATGATGTTATGCATGCTATGCTTTTTGTTTTGTCATGTTTGAATGAAACTAGGATATGTCCGCTAGAAGTTGATTGATTGAAGGGTGTATCTCATTATATACTATACTTTTTGCATTGGTACAGGTAGCTTGATTTTGATGGTGTGATGAGGTTGGTATCTTTTGAGTCGTTATATTCTTTGGTCAGTATGAGTAGGTGTGATACTAGTTTGAAACTTCATGTGATGTTTCATTTAAACTTAGTTTTGATGTTTGTTTGGATTGAGTTTTTACAGCTTTGGATTTTGATGGGTTGTTTTTGAAAGATTTTTCTAATAAATCATTGATGATGTTACACTACCATTTTTATGATAATAACTGCTTAAAATAAAAAGAAATTTTTTTAGTGAAAATCATGGTGTTACAAAATTCCCTTTAAGTAATTACCTTAATTAGTCATTTTCCATTTTAGGGAATACAAAGACTCTTTTATGTAATTTAGTCTAGAAATATATTGATATATAATATAATATAAAAATAATATATTATTTTAGCATATGTACCTTTCTATAAAAGTCATGTGTATTTTAATATTTTCCACTTTATATCTTCTCAAATGTTTGTCAACGGTTAAAGAATACGAAGTACAAGTCAAAGGAGCAATTCCGGCCTCTGTCGTCTCACAACAACCATTAATTTCTTAATCAAATAGTTTGTTTCTGAACACGCCATACACACACTAAAACACACACACACACCAAGCCAAATTTGATTTCGAAACTCCATCGATTTGATTGTGACAAAGAAGAAGAAACGTGGAATGGCTGTTACGCACGATTATCAATCGCTATGACCATCTTCCAATGCTCCAACCAGGAATCATCATTCTTCAATTCAATTGCAATCAATTTCCGATCAGAATTAACAGATATTCGTAGGAGATTCGTGGAGGGAATCGATGGATGAAGAATTGCCAGGGGCAATTGGAACAAGCGCAAGTTTAGCCCTAAGATTGGGACAAACCGTATTCTCTGTTGCTTCCCTCCTTTTCATGTGCGTCGGTGTTGAATTCTACGCTTATACGTCTTTCTGGTAATTCTTCGTCTCTACTTTCGATTTTCCGTTATTCATATATGTTCCTTTCGTCATTTAGCGCCTCAATTGTCAATTAGAATCGTCATAGTACCCAAATTATGAAGTTTAATTGGTATTACGAAAGCCATACTCGATCATCATCAAATTCCTTCTTTACCTTTTTCATTCTAATTCACCTTTTGCTATTAGCGGTTTGTAATCTGCATTTTATGATCAGAAAGCTCGAAATTAGGCACAAATTTACTTTAGCAATCGAACACACTAGCTGTAGTCAACAAAAATTGTTATCATAAATTCATAATTATGAAACAACCAACAATTGTCGATGCCAGGAATTTAAAGCTATGAAGCTGCATATTCTATCATGTTTAAAGTGATATTTTAGTATAACTTTTAATCGGTTTCTTACATTCTTGTCAGTTTTTTGGTGACAATCAAAGGGTTAACAATCCCATGGAGTTTAACCCTCGCAATGGTGGATGCATTTTCTGTATTTGTAAAACGACCTTCTCGCCAAATACAAATAGTGTCCATCATCGTTATTGGAGACTGGGTATGTCTGTATCTGTATCTTTATCTGTATTTGTATCTGTATCTGTATTTGAGATGCTAACTAATGGAAGATGATGATGACAGGTGTTATCATTTTTATCACTAGCAGCAGCATGTTCAACAGCAAGTGTTGCTGATTTCATGATTACAGAAGCTGGTGCATTTTTTTGTGGAAGAAAATTGTGTAGCAGATATCAATTGTCAGCTGCAATGGCGTTTTTGTCATGGTGTTTGTCTATAGCTTCTGCTCTTTTTAACCTTTGGCTTCTTCCTTCTTTATATTAATTTGTGGATAAAAGTTTTGGGTGTATGATTGTTATAGGTGGTGCATATAGTAAATAAGTAAAAAGAAGAAAAATGAAAAGGGAATCAAGAAGATGATTTTTTTTTTTTTAAAAATAGATTATCATTTAAGATATATAGCACAAAAGGGTATATGATTGTTATGTCTTCTTCAAGTGAATATATTTTTCTTTGTTTATGAAATGAAATCGCATGCTTTTTGGAATGTGTTTGGTATTGAGCTTTTGAGAGTTTTGATGTATCTTGCTTTTAGGAAATTTTATATTTTTTTTAATAACTTTTATAGAAACTTTTGTCAAACATTTTTCCACAACTCATACAATTGATTGTGTCGTATTGTTCAACCCTAATAAAGATATATCAAACCCGGATATGACCTGCCTAACCCGTTTAATTATACGGGTTTATGGGGTCAAAATTGAGTTTGCTGGCTCACAATTCGTGTTTTTTAAATCCTAATATAGTGTTAAGTCATAAGTACCGACCCAAATCAAAGAAAAAAGAAAAGATTTAGAGGTATAGTGTGAAGTCATGTTCAAGATTTATGGTAAAATGCAAATACACAAAATTTGAGAAAAGATTTAAAGAAATATAAAAAAATCTATTTTAAAGACTAATATAATATAAGGGTTGGTGGGTTGACCATCAAACTGTAATACCTGTTTCTCAGGCACTTTTCATTCGTAGCTTAAACATAATTTTCTTGCAAAAATGGTTCTTACGCTGGGCGTAAGTAATAAGTACGTGGGGGCATAGTTCATTAAGCACATGCGAGGGTTACATGCTCTACACGATGTGTAACTCCATCTACGCAGGGCGTAGATGCGTAGTTGCCAAACCCTAATTTTTAGGGTTAATGCCCTATTTAAACACCTTAAGTCCCTTGAGGCCTCTTCATGCTCAGCATCTACTCTCCCCAAACAGTTATTTCGAAACCATAATCCTTTGTAAGCTTGTTTTGAGTCTTTTGAGTGTTTTTGGTGCATTTTAAAGAAAGGAAAATCTACCATATTGGAGTGGTGTGACTCACGCTTGAAGATCCAGAGGTTCCATCCCTTTCGCTATCTTATGGAGGTAATAAAGTTCTCATCTTTATGGTTCTATGGCTTAGATTTAGGTTAGATTCTTGATCTGCATGCTTTTGGTCGCATAGTTTTGGTTCTTGTAAGTAAAAGTTACTCCAAAGCTTAAGGTTGTCATTTCATGTTGTTTAGAAGGATCACATGCCATAAAAATGAAACCTTTGTGGTTATCTTTCACCCATGCAAGGGTTTCATGAGGTCATTATAGAGTAATATAGATCTAGGATTTGGTTTTGGGATCCATTAAGCCATGTAAAGGCATAAAGTCAGGAACTTTATCCTTTTATATGTCCATTAGATTCAGATATAAGTGTTGTACGTTTGGTCTTAAGCTATTAAGCGCTTAATGAGGAGGTTGGAAAACTGCGAGGTTACACATGGCATAAACCTCGCTATGCAGCTCTTAGTCTGTCTTGGCCCTGTTTTCTGTGGAGAAGGTCAACACATGGTGTAGAGAAGAAGTAAGAAGACGTAACCCCAGATGAGGAATTTGTTATTTTTAGGGCTTTAGGCCATGTTTGGAAGGGACTAGCTTTAGAAGGGTAAAATGGTCTTTTAGCCTAGACAGAGAAACTATGTAATGGACCATTGATTATGATTATTACCCCAATTGTTAATTAAGATTGGTTTTTATATGTTTAATTTGAGGAGGTTCGTGGACCAGTAGCTCGGGTGTGAGAATTATCTGTTATCGATTGATGTGAGTATCTTCACTATACTTATAGACCAAAGGCACCAACATCGGCCCGTCGGATTATGTTTATATGATGCTAGCTATCTCTGTAACTCTTGCTATATTTGGGCAGGGACCACTATACGTGTTGGGCGGGGCCCACTACATGTTACGGGCGGGCCTGTTAACCGGGCGGGGCCCGATGAGTACTAGGAAGGGCAGGATGCCGGGTAGATCCTGATGGATGCTAGGCGAGGAGCGATGTATGTATGGTATGGAGTATTTTGGGGAACTCGCTAATCTTTGTGCTTACTGCTTATGTTTATGCTTCAGGCACATCTGGTTCCAAAGGGAAAAGCTCGACATGATTCCATTGCATCTACCGACGTTCCACATTTTATGACTTGTTTTGTGCTCTGATGACTATTTGATACAATTCTATACTTTGATGGGCTTTTCAAATGAAATAATAGTTATTTTGGTTGACTTAAAAAATAAAAATTTTTACTTGCTAATTTGGGACGTTTCAAGTTGGTATCAAAGCCTTGATTTGAGAGATTCAGACACACTTTTGAGTGTGTCTAGACTCAAACTGAGGAAATTAAAAAATTTTCAAAAGAAAATGATCTTCAAAAAAGGGTTTTTATAAAGAAAATGGGTGTGATGCATGCAATTAATTGAGCTCAAGTAAGTATTTCCCAAAATACCCATGCATGTTTATGTATTTCAATATGTATATATGTGTATAGCATGCTATATTAGGGCTAAGGATTTTCTCAGATTTGCATGGTAGAGTGCTAGGAGAGATGCCTTTGTATGCCTGTTGTATGAGCCTTTAGAACGTCATGCTAGTATGGATTACAAGTGATCGGATAGAGTGGCCTGATTAGGCAGTGCATTAGTTACAACTCGATGCTTGAATGCTGCTTGATTTGTGATTTTAGGAACCACCATTAGTACCAGTTAACTATGAAGAGAATACATTAGGTTACATGTTACATAAATTAGATAATTTTAGAAGGTTAGGTTTAACTATATTACACAGATCTTGATTGAGTCCAACTATTGTAGTGTGACCTTGCAGTCAAAGAATTATCTAGTGTCTGTTGCATGTCATTATATTCGCGGGGTAGTGAGCGGGTGTTAGTGGGAGTTTCTTCTGCATCTGATGGCGGGGAGGGGTGTGAAGGGAATCTTAGGAGAACCTAGGAACTATGGTAGCTTTAGCTTGGCATACGCATTGTTTAGTAGGAGTGGTGAATGTTTGGTAGCAAGGGAGTCTCTAAGGGGAATTAAGGAGACCCTTAAGGAAAGTACGAATAGGTGTGAAAGGTAGTATTGGGTCCGTACTACTGAAAGCATAAGATCTATACTCGAGTCAAGGGAAGTCACGAGGATACTAAGGAACTTGCAAAGTGTGGAGATTCTTTGAGTGTTTTATGATGGTTTGTATTATTTATTTTCAGTATGGTGATCACTTAATGAGGTTAGTTAGAACTCGATGCTTGAATGCTGCTTGATTTATGATTTAAGGAACCACCATTAGTACCAGTTAACTATAAAGAGAATACGTTAGGTTACATGTTACATAAATTAGATAATTTTAGAAGGTTAGGTTTAACTATATTACACAGATCTTGATTGAGTCCAACTATTGTAGCGTGACCTTGCAGTCAAAGAATTATCTAGTGTTTGTTGCATGTCATTATATTCGCAGGGTAGTGAGCGGGTTTTAGTGGGAGTTTCTTCTGCATCTGATGGCGGGGAGGGGTGTGAACAGAATCTTAGGAGAACCTAGGAACTATGTTAGCTTTAGCTTGGCATACACATTGTTTAGTAGGAGTGGCGAATGTTTGGTAGCAAGGGAGTCTCTAAGGGGAATTAAGGAGACCCTTAAGGAAAGTACGGATAGGTGTGAAAGGTAGGATTGGGTCCGTACTACTGAAAGCATAAGATCTATACTCGAGTCAATGGAAGTCACGAGGATACTAAGGAACTTGCAAAGTGTGGAGATTCTTTGAGTGTTTTATGATGGTTTGTATTATTTATTTTCAGTATGGTGATCACTTAATGAGGTTCTGGTTCTGGTGATGGATTGGGTTCAGGCTCTGGGGCCAACCCGAATCATGAGCGGATGCAAGAGTTCATCTCATTTGAGATTACTCGTGGTATTCTGGAGTAGACTCATGTGATCTTATGAACGATCAAGGAGGGCATTATGGAGATTCTGGATGAGTGTTTCAACACATTCTATGCTGAGATGGTGGTTATGGTGGGAGCACCAACTCTTACTTTTTTAGAGTTCTGTGCATGTGGGGATCCTGAGTTCATTGGGAAGAAGGATCCCATTGTTAATAGGCAATTGTTGGCAGACATCATGAACGCTTTTCAGACTAGCTTCTGCCTCTAGGGGTTGAAAGTCAGACTTGTATCATGTCTTTTGAAAGACATAGCGTGTGATTGGTGGGATGAGGTAGGTCATGCCTTGCAGTATAGAGCCATATGGGGTGTTGGGGGTACTATAGCACCCCCAAAAAAATTGTTTTATGTATATAAAAAAAATACTTGTAACCATGTTCTATGTTATTGTACCCCCAACTAACGAGATTATATCATGTTTTTTATTGCCCCGAATATGATAACTAAATATAATATTTATTGATAATGTTTGTACCCACATATAAACATTTCTAGCTCCACCACTGATGTCGTGGGAGGCGAGGCTGTTGAGGCAATAAATTGGGATGATTTTGTGATGAGATTCAGGGCTGAGTTTTCACCAGTGATCGAGGCTCAACAACTGGTGAGGGAGTTCCAGGACCTTTGTCAGACTACTAAGACTGTTGAGGATATCACCACCATGTTCAGTGAGGGGGATTTACTGGTTCTGCTGTATGTGGCGGATGAGGAGATGAAGAAGGAAAGGTACCATGATATAATGAAGGATGAGATACGGGAGCTTGTGAGCATGTACAACTGTAGGACCTTGGAGGAAATGATAGCGAGGGCCCGAGAATATGAGATTGATTTGGAGACTGTGGGGGAAGAAGAAGCTAGTTCAAGCTTAGGTATCAGAGGGTCGACAAAGAAGTCCAATGTTTTTGATGCTTGATCGAGGGACCAGCAGGTCCATAGCCATTGTGTCAAGTTTGTCAAGATGCACGAGGGGGGGTTTGCAGTGTGGGTGGTTTGGTTGCTTCAGGCGTGACAAGACTGGTCATTACAGCATGGATTGCATCGCCACTACCACCACCTAGGGAACGAGTCTGCTTTTTTCCATTGCAATCAGAGGGGCCACAAGAAGGTTGACTTCCTGATTTTGATAGTGCGAGCGGTGGCAACACCCGCTCCAGTGACATTGAGGATCACTAACGGTCACCAGGGCAAGGTGGAGGCACCGATTGTGAGGAGTCGAGCATTCCAGCTGATAGCCAAGGAGGCTTGTGTAGC